GTGCACTTCTTCCCACTCCTTTTAGACATGTAAATAAATCAGAACAGGTGAAATGTATTTTCTTTTATTTTGTAAAGCATTTTCTTTGCTACATAATCTCCTGTATATTGTTTACATGATCAAAATAAGATTTACCCCCCCTCCACACACACACACACACCCACACACACAGAAAACTTTAACATAAATGTGCTTTTTAAAGATTTCAAGTTGTTGTGGAGTCAGTAGTTGTTTAAAGTGAAATTAGCATTTGCATTGAAGCAGTGCAATATATTTACCCTTTGAAAGCCTACTTGAAGTAGGCATTTGCCTTCCTTCATCTCAATTCTGGTAAAACTGAGATTCCAGACAGTTTTTCTAAGGGGGTCAGTCAGTATATCAGCCCCCACAACCTTGAAACTCACATCTCAAAGCTCATCCAATCTTGTTTCCGTCACCTAAGAAATATTGCAAATATCAAACCTTTGCTGTCATTCAATCATCTGGTATTTTTAGTTCACACTTTAATTTTCTCCCACCTTGATTATTGTAATTCCCAGCACGTGCATCAGTCAGTCCTCCATAGCCAGTTTCCAATTAGTGCAGAACGCAGCAGCAAGACTGCTGACAAAAACTAGCCAGCGGTCAAATATTACACCTGTTCTTGCATCCCTTCACTGGCTCCCAGTGAAACTACAAATCCACTTTGAAATTCTGTTACTAACACATACAGCTCTATATAGACAGGGCCCTGCTTATATAGCAGTGCTTCTGAGACTTTATCATAGCACCCGGCATCTCTGATCCTCTAACCAGGGTCCCCTAACTGTCCCTCGCTCTGATTTTAAAACCAGAGGGGATCGCTTTTGAGGTTGTTGCGGCTACACTGTGGAACAGCTTTCCTTAGTCAATCAGGTCAGCTGACTCTGATATTTGTTCTGATAAAAACTCATTTTTACAGGTTAGTTTTCCCTTAATCTTTTCCCCTTTATTTTCAGCCATAGTTTGTCACTATTTGTATGCGTTGGAATGAATAACTGACCATATGGTTGATTATGTGTCAGTATGTTTGAACACGTACACGAGGGGTCGGCAACCTTTCTGATGATGAGTGCCATCTAAAATTTCCTCAGAATTCAATGTGCCATATGATTGCATTAGCAATAAATTTAATAATGCTCTATATCAACAGTTACACACTATATAGAACAACTTTATAGAATTATATTTGTTCGCAGATGTTGGCAACTATCAGCGAATAGTTATCAGCTATTTTGAAACAACAAAAAATAAACACTTTTTATCCATAACAAGAACTCCACAACAGAAAATGCAAATGCTATTTATGGTCTCCTCACAACAATGATAAGAAAAATAAACTGGGCCAATATGGCATGTTTGTTGATACAGGGATACACATGTTAATGTGATGTCTGGTCTCCCACTCAGAGACACAGGTCTCTAAGTGTCCAGCATTCAGACTGGAATCCTGAGGACACTATTCATGTGGGAGAAAATCTGCTCACACAGATATGTAGAGCAAAATACTGTCAATAAGGCCTCTGCAATGTTCTGAAGACAGTTAAACTTGTCAGGTAGTGATGTCCAGCAGGTGAAAATGCAAGTTCCATGAACACGCACAGCTATGGATACCAGCTGCGTTCGTAGTTCTGCAAACTTTGACCCCCACAGAGTCGAGCTTTTCAGTTCGGTCAGCTGCATTTCGATGTCCTCTGAGTTCAGCCAGTTAATACAAGACAAATCCAGCTGCTCATTAAGCCTTTCTGGTTTGATCAGAAAAGAAAACATTGGTCCATACATTGGTCCATACACCTGAAAGTCCTGAAAACACATTGTGAATTCTGTCTTGAGTCTACGGATGTATCCGTGTATTTACGTGGTGCTGATGCTGCGCTGAGTGGACAGCTCCTGAATCATGTTGGAATGTGGGAATTTCAACATCGCTTGAAAAAGGTGCCAGCTAGCAATGTCCCTCTCACCGGTAGGCTAAGTGATTTTTAGCCAACTACAAGTTGAATCTGGTAGTTGGAGTTGTCAGCTAAGATACCATCATTACGAAGTGGCACAACTAATGTGTCTATGTGAGCTAATTTGCAATGTTCACCGCTGGCACGGCCATTTATTTTTTAATGCACCTTCTCAGATTAATTCACTGCGTGTCGTGCCCAGGACTGGACTGGGACAAAAAAATCGGCCCGGGCATTTTGACTAGAGACTGGTCGCCCAGGTATTATAGGAAAAGCCATAAAGCCTTTAAATGAAAACGAACGCTGTTGTGACAGTGATGTACAGTCCTGTTGGTATATGTATGATCTCTATACATCAGATGAAAACTTTGGTTGTGAGATTCAGATAATTATTTAATTAAAGCTAGACATTTTAAATGAGAATAAGAAAGAAAAATATTTCTTAGTGCCCCCCTTTCCCTGTTAATGTCCCACCTGGCCCCCTGGCAAAACTTTGCTAGACCCGCCCCTGCACAGTTACCAGCTGTCAGCTACCTAAAAAAGGATCCTGGTGTTATTTGTCTCTCAGAAACAGTTCATAACTTCCCTTCAACTCATTCATGTCACCTAAAAGGTAAACCTGTTTCTCCATCACAGCTCTGATGATTCAGTAAGGACATCTCCTGGTTTCATCTTCATGTTTCCCTCTCACCAGATAACCAAACCTATCATGACCAGCAGGTTTACAGCTGTGGCTCCAGCAAACATCAGCTGATACTAGAAATTAATATTAAATAAATTCTAACAACAGCTGATCAAGCTTAAACGTGCTGCTGTTGTTTAGCGCGACATCCGCTGGTTTCCTCTTTCTGGCGCAAAGTGGGCGATAAACAAACAAGAGAGAAAAGCCGATCAGCTGATCATTGATCAGTTTCATGATTCATATGAGCTGTTCGCACTAAAGTAAAAAGCACCATCACTTCATGCGGATACCCTTTCGGCCCAGCTGCGGTCGCAAGGCTGGAGCTGAACAACAACACCCTGATAACGACTGTGTTTAGTCTGTTCCTTCCCATTCCATGCAAGGCCACCTGGGTTGGCTGGAAGACTGTTTACTTAGCCTAGCAGGGCGAAGGACACTGTCTCAGCTGAACTCTGGACACGCACACACATACATATACACTGATATGCACACACTCATCCCCCCTCCCTTTCCAAACGCCTTCGATGCTTGTTCCCTCCTGGGAACACGGCGGGTCTGAGCCCGCGCTGGAATGGTAGCGCTGGGCAGGATGGCTGCTGTGTTTGCTTCGGATTACTCCTCACCCCCCACCCGACCCTGTGGCTTGTCACGTGTTCCATAATGTTGTGCTGTGGACATTTATGTGCTTTTTTGTGCAGAGGAGTTTTTTTGTTTCCTGTTCTCATGCTGTCCTCCCAGGAGCCCAGCATGAGTAGAGGTCTCTTTTTTTCCTCTTGTACTTTCCCATTGTAGTGTATATTTCAGTGTTTTTTTCTGTAACGCTACCGATCTCCGACCTGTATCCCCATGTGATGTCTGTGTTGTGTGTGTAAGGTCGGGGGGGGGGGTCCTATTTTACTGCAGGACAACCTGCACGTGATTGATTAATTGATTGCTTGATTGATTGATTGATTGATTGATGAAGTAGCAACAGGAAAGGGAGGAGAGAGAATGAGAGAAGAAGAGGCAGCTGTGCAGCGTAAAGATGCAGGATAACTCAAGCTTTGTGTCTTTTTCCATTCTAGCTGAAGTACAGGACAAACTGTTTTCCTTTTCACCTCAATACGAAACGCGTAATATTTTCTCTGAATACGAGACGATTCCGTTTTTTACGGACGGTTGGCAACTCTACTAACAAACCTTATGAATAAAATAAAGTTCACTATTCACTAGTAACATCATAGCACCCACCCAGCTGTATAGAAACTCCGTCATGCTAGCTAGTACGCAGTACGAGTTATTTAACTGACTGTAAAAAGTCAGCACAACGAAAATAAACTCCACCTAAACTTGGTTTATATCTGACCCAGATAGACTGCAGGTCATAACTTCTTACCTGAAGTTCAGTTCACCTGACACTCGGACCGGCGGCCGTCTCTCTCCTCCCCTGCCTTCCCTTTCTCTCATCCACCTGCTGGCCTCTGTGGAAGCTTCGCCATAGCCACCACCAAACAACTGACTTAAATTTACACATCTGGCCAATCCACCACCTTTCATTGTTTATGCCTTTACAAAGAAAAAAAAAATCATCGGCCCATAAAAAAGAAAAATCACCATCGATGGCCAGTCCAGCTATGGTCGTGCCATCAGTTAATCATGGCATGCGTGACCAGGGTTGCCAAGCCCTGGCGTACACTATCTTCAATATGTAGCTTTTATTCAAACTGTGAAGTCTTTGTAACTCTGTTTCAAAAAGTGTTACATAAAAAAGTTATTAATTTCATTTACTTATTTATGTTTAGCTTTTTACATTTTTTTACTGATATGTACTGAGGTCTCAAAACTTGTCATCAAGTGTAAAACGCAGGTCGTCATCTTTATGGGGAAAAGAGCTTTTCCAGACCATAGTTTCTGGCCAAAGGAAATATGATAATTACGCTTCACCTTTTCTCCCTGTAGAATATGGTTTCATGAACAAGAGCGCACATTTATCTGCGTAATATAACTACTCAGACAGTACACTGTTTTAGAAACAATAATATTTTGTTATTTTGCAAGATTAGTTCTACTCTGTCTGATGCTTTTTACAGTGTGACAATGACCAAGAACTTCTTAAGAAAAGTTTTATAAGCTTAAGCACAATTTCAAACATGGATAAATTGTAAATGTTGTATATTATCGAAGGGTTGGATGTTTAGTGTTCTCAAAGGGTTTTATATATCATTTGTTCTTTTTATAAAATTCAAATGAAACCCTTCTTTTCAACTGTGTGCATTTCAAACAATTTCTGTTTGAATTGGAGAATGGAGAATGAGAAAACATTAGTACAGCTGCAAAGTAAACTGCGTTCTCCCTGGAGGAGGTTGACTCACCTGAGGGTGAAAATTTGTACTGAAGAAAGAGCAGATAGAGCCAGAAAAGTTGAGACTGTTTCTCGCTGCCGAATGGGTTTGGAGGGTGCCATCACCACAAAGTTATTGTCTAGTTTCAGCTCCAACAGTGGCTGAAACAGTCTGACACTTCCAATGCGCTGCATAGGGGTATGCCCTGCAAAGTACCCTAACGGCCTCGGCTGGTCTGTGAGGACAGAGCTGCCCTTTCTTGAATCCTCTGAAGTGCAGTCTCCGTTATCTGTGGTTTGAACCATATAGTAGAGCTCCACCGGAGTGCCTTGAGCTTCCTCGGAGACCTTCTGCCTACCAGGCCTGACAGTAGGTGGGCTGAACCAGCTGGCCAGGGGCTCCAGCTCGGCAACACATATCCCCAGGTCTCCTTTTAGCTTGCATGTTCCACGCACTTCTTGAGTCTCATGAAAGGCAAACATCCTGATACAGGGTAGCTTGTGGATGGTGCTGTAATCATCCCAGTCCCTGCCTGCAATATAGAACAGCACTTGAACTTTCGGCCAGCTAGGGTGAATCCTCTCGCTGATAATGTAAGTGTGCACCTTCCAGTTGAATGTAAAGAGAGGCGATGCCGACACTGATGTTGTTGAGGATGAAGTGAAAGAGGGTGTGCTAAAGGGCCCTGGCGAAGTCTGTAGCAGCTCCAGGGGGACAGGCTGCTGGACAGACAGTGGTCCATAGCTAGCATTGACAAAGGGCATCTGCCGGGCCTGGTGGATGAAAAAGGACTCAGTGCGAGCCTGGAGGCTGGAGTTCCTCATTAAGTCCTGGTTTGCCTCCTGTAAAAAGAACGCTGACTCTGCATTGAGGATCCGGTAGCTGACAGGTAGATATATTGGTGTGGGGCCAAGCCTCTGCAAACCCTCCAGGATCACCTTGGTGTCCACGACTGAAACAAAAACATAAAATGACAATAACCTGTTAGCCTTTATTTCACAGACTGGAAAAAATCTCTACCAGGGATCTAGTAGCTGTGAAAGTAAGCTTCATTTTGCAAATTGTATCAGTAAAATCAAATTGAGGTGTGAAATCTAAAACCTTAATGAGAAAATTTGGATGAAATAATTCAGAAAAGGGAAGCCAACACTTCATATTTTACATAACATTTGCATGCATTGCCTGCAACCTGAGGCAATCATATCTACAGTCAGTTCCAGCAGTGAATGTTAAATGGTGTGTTGGAGACATTTCCATATGATATCACTTTCATGAGCCACTGCTCTTATTTGGAAGAATTTGCTCGACACAATCCAAAACACTTACGTCTTTCTCAGTCACTTGCTTATCAGGCTTGTCCATGTTCCCTCCTGCTTTCAATCCTTTTCATTATGGTGCGCTAACTCAATCTCCCACCCCACCCCCACTCTCCTTTAATTTCTCCGTCCTGTTATTTTAACTTTCATACATTGTCATCTTCTTGTTTCCGGCACTCCTGTATGTTATTCCAACATTTTCATTTTCATATTTCACATATATCAGATATGGAAAGTTGAAGTCTTCCAAACTGAAAATATTTGAATATTTGGTACGTAGATGTGCCATAGATAAAAAACAAAGAGTGAACAACTTTGTGATAATGGATAGTATTGGAGAAATGTTGGAGAACAGCTGGGTTAACCAAAGAAGAAAACAGCTGTTTGCCTTTGTCAGCTTATGTGACATATGGTTTTTGGATGAACCCTACTTTGTATATATTTACAGAATATTTCACATCTTTGGAAAAGCATGGCTCTGTCATATGTTTGTGCTCAGTGTGTGCTTGGTTTTGGTGACAAAACCCTTTCGATTTCAAAAGATGCAAAGGCGTTCATCTCTTTCAGTATTACTCTTTATTCTCGTTGTTTGGCTAAACATGCTCTTAAATCGGGCCTCACATGCCCCTAAAACCTATGGCGTTATTTTTGTGCCACTATTCTGAGCTCACCTAAAAAAAATTTGAGCGCATGTAAAAAAAGTTTGCAGGTGCAAGTGTTGCATTTTGAGGAGAAATTTATTTTGAGCAAAGAAAAGCTGAATTTGAGTGAACAAAATTCATTATTTTACGTGCGCTCAATTTTTTTTTTTTTACTTGCGCTCAGAATAGTGGCACAAAAATAACACCATAAAACCTGCTTCCATCTCTCCCTCTCCTCATTCTGCAGACCTGACCCCCACCCTCTTCTCTTCACCATCAGTGCACTGATGGAGTTGCCCATGAGAGTCCATTGATTTTCTGTCCTGGACCCTGCATGCTGTGGGAGATGTGGCATGGTGGTGATTTGTGACAATCCATGGCCCAAAAAGCAATGACAAGCTTGCCAGACGAACAGCACCAGACAGAAGAGCAACACTTCAGAAACAGTGCAGTAAAGGGTTAAACTAGCTTCCCAAAACCTTACATGAAATGATGAGGGAGGGAGTTTGGGGGTAGGGGGATTATTCTTCCTTGAAGAAATGTTATTGTCATATGCACAGTAAAAATAAACACAGCATTTTACACTGCAAAATGAAATTCTTATTTTAAATAAGCCTTAAAGATAAAGGTAAACCAGGCAAGTGTTGTGAATAAACACAATTTACCTGAATTTGTTCAGCTAATGTACCCCACTGTGAATCGTTCCCTGTTGCTTCTCTCCTCTCGCACCAGCAGCAGTGTATCTTGAGTCTGGAGAAATGAGAGCTGCAACTACACAGCTCTGTTTTTCCAACTTAGCCACAGACTATGCAGTACTGCAGGTGGACACTGCAGGTGTCACAGGTGTTAACCTCCTAAGCAGCACTGTGTCTAACATCTTTCCTGGCGGTCACCCAACTCTCACGTGGACTGCTGTATTCATCCATCCTTTTTTTCCCCTACAGTGAAATGTCTATTGTTCGTTTTTAAACAAATCCATAAGTGAATGATTTATAATATTCCCGGTCTTTAACTTCTTTCACATTACACCTGAGCTACAATTTAGCATATACCTTCAGATTACCTATTTAAAACTTATAGTTAAGCAACTGTTTATGCAAGAGCTGCCCCATTAAAAAACTACCAATTTCTAGGCTGTGCAAGCTACTTTAATGAGCTGTAGATAAAATCTAAAGGTAGGCATCCTCTAGCTGCCAAATAAGTGTTAACATTTACACCTTTAAATTGGGCGGCAGGAAAAAATCGAGCTTTCACATTTGTATTTAACCTTGCATAGGTTGTTTCAAATAACACAGCAAAAAAATTATGAGTCTGTTTAAGGGTTATTGATAAACCAGGAGGCCCTCTATCCCCTCATTTCTACCTCTATATCTACTAATCTGTTTCAAAGTCATGCATTATGTTGTGAGAAAAGTTACAAATGTTTCTACAATATGTCAAGGACTTTCACTGTTATGTATCTGTATAATTTATTTATCTGTTGCCTTTGGCTGTTGGTTAGTTAACTACCAGTTCCATCTAGCCTAACCCCCTGGGAACTTACACCATCGGACCGGGAATCACAACAGTTTGGTCTGTTGTGGCATTATTGAAATGCAGGTCAGGATTTGTACTGAAAAGTCAATGGCAAAAAAATAAAAAAATCAGCAATCAAGCACACGGCTTCCATTTTATTCTGAAATAATTAAGTATTGTTCTAAATATTGCTTGTGCCACCACCCCAGCTAAATAAAATTGTGTTTGCTGCCTAAATAACAAACACCCACACAGCTGAAGCTAATTACAGGCGTCTTTCTTCTTTATAATCATATGCATTAATAGTAAAATGTCTGCCTCTGATAAATGAAAAAGAATAAGAATAAGAATGAATCATAAATATGAATTAGTTTTCTAAGCAGTCGCTTTCATGTTTGTATTCATGTGGCACACCTTCAAGCTAATCACACCTTAAAATTAGTTACCCTCTGTGTGCCGAGACAGCGTACAGTCAGTGACTGCTGCTGCATAGCTTTTACTCAGAAAACTGTGTTTGCGAGTGACAAAACTGAGACCGTGGTCAAGGGGCGAGCCGGCCCTTAGTCGGTGCTGGATCACGCTTACAGCCGAGTGAAAGGATTTTCCTGTCTATCCTTTTCTCTGGGGGATGTGACACACTGTCCTAGTTTCCACTTACTATGACACAGATGAAACTAAATACAACAGGAAAAAAAATGCTGTAATTTGTAACTTGAGATTTAGAATATGTCCCTTTCTATGACACCAAGAGGACATCGTAAACAGAGAGGCAAAGTCAGTGTGATTTGTAGCCTTGAGTTGCCCTTGGATTTCATGTAAGCAGCACTGTACTTGTAAATCATGTCTGTAGGACTGTTTCTGCAAATGAAAAAGGGAATGATTTGTGTAGATAGCTTAACTCCATGTGCTAAATCCTGGCTGTAAACTCTACAGGAGTAATTTTGGGCACTGCCAATCCCTCAGGATGTGGCCTGAGGAATCTGATCACATATCAAACAAACAGCTGAACCAGACCTCATCATTAGACAGATGTGAAACTTGGGATTTACTGACTTGATGTTATATACATGCAGTATGAGGCAAAAGGCCTATGGCAGCAATGGGAATGGAGATTAAAATGTTTTTTCCCATATCATTTCACACCATGCAGCAAGCAACTTCTAAAATAAACCCCAACATGGTATTGACGCATTCGTGTCCCCAAGACAGACATGTGTGGCTCCAAATCAAACCGTTTCTTATAATCACCTGTTTTTATCCCTGGCGACCTAAGTAGAACTTCACCCAAGAAATATAAGCCCTTCATCTCCCTTCAGCCTCCCTCCTACTCCTCCTCCTCTCATCCTATCTTTATCCTCCACCATGTGTGCATCTTGCAACCACTCCCTGATCAAACAAATTAGGCTGGCCAACTTCAGTAAGTCACTAATCAAACAGCATTTTTTTTAATGAGATTTATAAATGGAGACTGAGGTAAGAGGTAGGAAAACCCAAACAGCAACAAAGATTGGAATGGGGCAGGGCAAGAGGGTGGTGGTGGTGCACTGTTTGTGTTAAGAAAAGTAAAAAATTACAGCAAGAACATTACAGGATGGGCCGCATGCCTTTATTATGATACTCTGATTACAATTTTGTTTTTTGTAAATCTAGCACAACATTGTTCTCACCTCCTTTAGAAGCACCTACAAAGGTTTAATGCCTCCTAACCTGCTGATGCTACTCTCCCAGACTAATGTTTTACAGAAATGAAAACAATTAGTGGTCACTGACAAAACTGGCATGTAAAATCTAAGGTCTCCAATCATATAACTGTCCCCATGGGAACAGAAAGTCCAGTAGGTGATCTCCTGACCCTGCTCTAATTTATAAACAAACACGTAGATAGCTCATTTCAATAAAGAGCAGCATTCTTAAAGGGACAGTGAAATTAAATGGTCCATGATGATGGGATGAGATGAGGCTGCACTATATCTGCTAACAAAATATCAATAAGAGACAATTGAAGAAGAATCAGTGTTTCTGGTACAAAAGTAGAGTCTTCTGGTAAAAAGACTGCTTGTGAAAACTGCAGTCTGTTACACCATATAAAGCTGAAATGAGTGTATAACTGCGGACATGTGACAAACATTATTTAGCATCAGACATAGAACCAGCCCAGTGTTAATGAAGTTACTGTTACCGCGCCAAGCGCACCCCTCTTTAATTTTTTTGCAGCGGTCTGAGGCTGCAGTCATTTATTAAAGTCAATAAAATATATTGTAACATTCACACACTGATCTAACACTTCAAGTCTGCTTCAGTCTCATTAATTGCTGCATTCTGACCAATATTTTAATCTGACAACAGACCTGATACCAGGGAAAAGATGTTTTTTCATTGAGGAGCTTTCTCTGTGTATAAATGTGACTAAATTCCTGGCACACTGCAAACCTCATCTCTGTAAAGAAACCCAGCTGCCTATAAAAAAAGAAGCAACCTTC